AAACATACACATAATTTTTTTCTGATCGATCACAGAGTGGTGTTTTCTAGAAATTTTCCCCAAGAATCAGTTCAGTCCAATAATAAGATTTCAAACAACAGCACTCTCTAATTTGTGAAAAGTTTGTTCGACCGATCACAAAATGATCTCGTCTAGAAAATTTTATAGAGAATGTATTCAGCCCAATAAAAATTTCCAAATAACGCAAAAACAAATTTGTACAAATGTACTTTTCGCGTAATTTGGCTTGATTCAAAGCGAAAATTTGAAAGCACGCTTTCATATTGCGGCTGTAGCTGAGTGCCTAAAGATGATTGCTACAATTGGTTGCTGCGTGGAGTGTCCAGGTTCAAATCTCATCAGGCGGAACATATAATAAAATTTTTTTTCTGGTTTTTCTTAATTACGAAAAAGCATCTGTGAAGTGCACAGCGAAATGGTGTTCAGACGAAAATATCTCCATAATAAATCTGTTTTAATTAAACAAATGGTTGTTTGGCGCAAAATCGGATGTGTTTTTGTTTAAAACCAAGAGTATGTGGTTAATTTTTTTCTCAGTGTACCAATATTATCACATCATCAGAACACACAACTACTTTTACTCGCAGTGAAATGATCGATCCACATTTGGGCGTATCCCCGCTAACTTTAGTTATTAATCTTCTCATTTTGTGTAGATATTTGTGCGGTGCAGCATAGCCATTGTAACAAATTCCTCGAATTTAGCTCATCCAAGAATTTATGAATAGTTTCTGTGCCGACACATTGAAGGTTTCTTAGAAGTTCTAAGAGTTTCAGGCAACGCGTGCTCGGTGCACCTTCACCTGAGTAATCATTAAAACTAAAGGAAAACTTTCGTCTCTATTGATAAATTTATAAAGTTTAAAATACACAGTTAATATTTTTAAATAAACTTTATCAGTGATACCTTTAATATGACGAATTTTTATTACTTTCTGATACTTATAAAAAACTAAGGTTTGACACTAGAAATACCAACACATTTTAAAAAAATAAATGAAAAGATTATTTGGTTAACATAAATAAATCGCATGGGGGCAAGATGTCCGCTAAAAAACCAATAAAGGATAAAAAAGAGGCAAAAAGAAAAAAATATATGAGTAAAAATTCAGCAAACACTTTTACGATGTAATCGCCCTACAATGATTAAAGATATCTTTCGATGCAGTATATTTTGCAAGTATACACATATTTTTGAACATTGCGGTATTCCCATCTTCGATAAATCAGTAAATATTAAAGCTAATTTATTCAAAATTGATGCTTGCAGCAATTCTTTACCAAAAAAATACGTTTATGGTAAAATTTTGGAAAATGGGCGTGGCACCGCCCGCTTATGATCACATATATGTATATCGGTAACCGTTCTACCAATTTGTACCAAACTCGGTATGGTTATTGTACTTGCCACGTGTAAGCAAAACGTTGAAAATTATTGAAATAGGACTAAAATAACGGCCGATTCTCATATAACGGTACATTTCAGAAATGCTTGAAACTGCAATATTTCAAAATTAAGGGACGCTAATTTACTCAAAATTGATACCATCTAGCGGTAGGTTTCGAAAAGGTGAAAAAACATATATTTAATACTTGCGCCGAGTATTTAATGTTCGGCTCCGCCCGAACTTAGACTTTCTTACTTGTTCAGCTTACTTTTGTTAGTCTGATAAACAGTCATTTACTTACTAAAAAAAACGGTAAAATAATTATTATCTATTAATATTTTCTTAGTTCACAGAGGTTTTGTAGAAGAAACAAAAATGAAATCACCACTAAAACAATTTATCGATTTGCAGAAGGCACTCGAAGACTATTGCCAAAATAAATAAGTAATTTTTTAGGAAAAACCAAAACCGACTTCATTTCTCATGTAAAACTTAAAGATTACCGTTAATTTCTTCAATCCAATAATTTCCATCGATAACTTAAAGTTGTGATACACAATAGATAGATGCGTTGCCAGTTTTGTTTTGTAGAAGTTTCGTTAGTATACACTTTATACACTTCAGTTTTTACACATAAAGCGATTTTTAATCTTCGTTGCTTAACACATATTTTTTCAATTACTTCTTGTGTTGTAATCGGTACATCGTTATGTATCGCTAACATCGTTAAATCATTCAGCCGCTCCTTAATTGTATAAAAAGAAGGGACAAATAAGATAGCATATTCAACAATTGAGTAGACCACTTGCAAAGTGCGCTATTTAAATTTTTTTTCGATTTTTAGTTTTTGGTGGGTTTCATGTTCACTAACAGCAGAGTGAAAAATTTTTCTATATTCTGAAAAAAATAGCATGAAATGTTAACTACTCTTGCAAAAGTGGCCATAATACTTATTTATACACTTTCAAAAGTCTCCTCTTCGTATGAACTTAGAAAACTGCAAGAACACATGGTAGTTTCGGTGCCTACACAGTCAAAAATTTGGGTTTAATATTCAAACCGCGCTGGGGCTACTGCCTTTTTTAATCTTTTATAGTCTACTTTTTAAACCAGTCAATAGTTTTAAGCAATTTTAATATATTGTGGTTTAAATTGTAGTCCAAAAAGTTCGTGGTTTAAAAATCAAACCAAAATGTTTTAATTCTAGTTTCTAGGTTTCATATGTTGAAAATTTGGTTTAAAATCTAAACCGAAATAGAAAATGTTTGCACACAGCGAAATGTGGTGTTGATTCAAACTCAACATATGAAAGCACATTTACATGCGTGGCTGTAGCTGAGTGTGCCAAGATGCTGATAGAAGTGGTTGCTACCAAGGCTGTCCGGGTTCAATCCCCATCAGACGCAGCATGAAATTTAAGATTTTTTATTTTTTATTCTTGATTAGGACAATGTTTGGATTTAA